CACTTTAATTGGTAATTTATTTTTTTTTAATTGTGATACCCCTTTAAAATACTCAAATACAATAATGATTCTGATTTCCTCATTCCAAACAATGGAGATGGAGGTAGAGTTGAGCAAAAGAAAAGAAGAAAAATCTCTTCTAAATATAATAATAATAGAGACATTAAATTAAAGAAGCATAGAGGTGCGCATTTTGTGTCCAACTGCAGAGTTTCTTTTTGGAAGGAAGGCGGCATTAATCTAGACTCGCCCCAGGCGACACTAGGCTTAAAGAGTTTTGTACTGTAGGCATGACAAGCAGTTCCGGCTCATATCAGCAAGAACACAGTACAGGAACTGCTCGTTCCAGCCAAAGACAATCAAGGACCCGTTTGGCGCCCCCTTCCCTGTCCCTGTATGGCTCCGCTTTTTTCCCCGATTACGATGTAGGCTATGGAGTACGTCTTATGATGCTATAAATGTAGCTAACGATAAGCTATTTACCATGCACATGAATTTAGACTGTTAGTTTTTCTACGGTACTTTGTTCCATTTCCACTTCACCATAATAAACTAAGGGAATTTATATATTTCCTGGATGCCCTAGGCGCCCCTATGCCCACGGTGCCCTGTGCGAGCGCACAGGGCAAAAACCATAAAGGCCGGCGTTGACTGGAACATGCTTCCAAAAGGAACAGTTAAGGCGACAACACTCGACACATTTGTGTCTATTGCCCCAGGCCTTCCAAACCCCAGTTCCTGGTACCCTCGCTGAGTGACCCTTGAAAACCAGTGAAATATGCTCTTCAATGCAAGGCACAGAAACATCGCAAATCCTTCTACATACATAGGAGCCAGAATTATCAATACATTGATCATGGACCCTTAATATATAGAAGAAGAAGAAAATGCCTTGGTCACTTATATATGTATTCCCTTGCAATGTTTCTTTCAGACAATTTGTTGTTGTTGTTGTTTTGTTTTTTTTTGGGGGGGGGGGGTAAGGGAGTGGCAATTCGGATGCCCGGCAGTGCCAGTGGAGTAGGTAGGGAATGATTCATCCCCGGTGTCCTTCTGTCTCTTCATATGGTGGCGGCAGCATTTTGTCTAGCTGTCTTTTATCGTGGAAGGGGGTGGTAAACATCTTGATCCTCTTTTAACAGTGGCGCCAACACCAGCTACGCCTTTGGGCATTGCATTATTAACGCAAAATTTGAGCATAATGACGACCAGTGCCCGCTGCAATGCCGTCCCTCATCACCTAATAAAAAAATAAATACATCTAAATTGTGGCACCCCTTAGGACAGAGACTCCTAACCGATTATTTCTTCCGTAACCTTTGATTGGACTCGTTTTGAAATGTAGCTTCTTTTAAAGGAAGGGGTGTCCAAAACATTTTGACCGTTTCCCCCAATTATCAATATAATTATAGCTTACCTCCAAAGCGATCCCACAGGGGTGTGCTGAACAGATGTTTGGAACGGCTAATTTAGGGTATGCTTTTGGTCCCATATAAGTGTGTTTTTTTGTTTTGTTTTTAGCTAAAAAGGTACCGAGACTGTCACTTTTGATTTCGGGAGATAGAACAGAAATCGGGGGTGGGGGGCCGACGCTGAAGTGAAATTTTTAAAATTAATTCAAAATCAAGGAGTGTGTTTTAGAATATACCTGAATTTAGATTTTTTTTTCCCTAGAAAATTTGATCCAGGGAGGGTACATTTCAGGATGTAGGGGCAGAGGCGTAGCGAGAGTGTTTGGCGCCCGGGGACAAGATTTGCGACCGGGGACAAGATTCATTTTAAAGCGCCCGCTTTTCTTCTTTTAACTCTCAAACCCATTATTTTCATCAATAAACTAATAACAAATCACATTTTGGCGCCCCTAACTAACTGGCGCCCGGGGACATCTGTCCCCTTCCTGCCCCACCTTCGCTACGCCACTGTGTAGGGGATGGGTGGGGGTGGTTTAAGGGATCTATTAACACGAAAATAAGCCATTATTGCACCCTTTGGGACCGTCCATAAAGTACGTCACGCTCCAGAGGGGAGGAGGGGGTGTAAGAAAGTGTGACAGCTTGTGACAGGGGGGAGGGGGTTCAGGCCATATGTGACGTCACACATTTATTTTTTTTTAATTTTATTTCTGTTTAATTTTTTTAGTAGAATTTTTATAGCTTTAAAAATAATTTTCAAAAATTTTGTGAAACATGTGTATTAGTTTTATGTCAAACTAGCATGAAATGCGTATCTCTTGAATGTGTTGTTCACGATTCCTCTCGTTAGGAGCGCTAGTAACTATTCTACTATTAAAGACATTTTAATTATGTGATAGTTCTTTTAAGTGGACATTTTATATTTTAATACAGTTTAATAGTGAAGTGTGTTTTAGATTCAATTTTAATAAGGCGTGTTAATTTTTTAAAAAAAATGTGTTCGAAAGTGTGACTTACTTTAAAGGGGAGGGGGGGGGGTTCCGAGATTTGTGACAGTTTGTGACAGAGGGGAGGGAGGTAAAAATAGTAAAAAAATAGCGTGACGTACTTTATGGACGGCCCCTTTGTCATACATAGCCTGAATTCATTTCAGTTGTGGCACTCCACGGGGTATTTGTGGGGATCTAATTCTAGTTTCTCCCCCGTAGTGTCGCATTGATAGACGTGGGAGAGGGGGGAACATAAATCTATAGGGCCTATGGCCCCAGAGCCAAAGCGCCGGGGAGAGGCTTGAGAGGGGGTGATTGAGTCCTTCGCCAGAATATTTTTGGAATTTGGGATAAATTCAAATATATACGAATGCAGTTGTGCCCATTATTTAATTTAGTTTTGTACCATTCTAAAATTAATCAGAGAGTACCCGAATGTAGGTTTCCATGGTCTTGTTGTATTTATAAAAATACTCTATATTAAATTGTTACTAAATAGTAATGTTGTTTTTAGATTTTAATTAGCAATTTATTTTGTTAAACTACCTCATTTATTAATTAATTTGAAAAGAAAACCATCTCTAATAATTACCTTCCTTAAAATTTTAAACTTTATCAGAAAAAAAAAGAAAAAGAAAGAGAGAGAGAAAAAAGTACTGGTATGTAGAAAAGGTTTGTATTCATTAATAAAAAAAAATATTGGAATGTCAAAAAATTATACAAATTGCTATACTTTTAAGGCATGATGACATTATTCTATTAACAACCTGCTCTACCTCAAAAGATTTTTTAATGCGCAGAATTTGGAAATATTTTGCCAATATCAGATACTTGGCAATAACAAAATCGAGCTATTTTAACATAGGCATATTTAGCTATGGTACGGTACCAGGTAGTTTAATTCTGTATTGTTCCGAATAAATGCCACACCTTTTTCGCTAAATGTAAGTTTAAACTCGGGGCGCAACCTACACTCGGGATGTTGCAAAAGTAATAAAATACATCGGCCTAATGAAAACGACATCAAATATATAGGCAGTAGGGTTGGGAATCGAAACCTCCTTTAGAACTTCGGGTTCGACCATCGGCAGGGTTCGGTGACAACTATGGCTTATACAACCAGTGCAGCTCAGCGCGTTCGGTTATTTGAAATTAATTTGGTTCCAGTTTAAATGAAATAAATAAATACCGTACTAAATTACCTTTTAAAAAAAAATAAGTCTTAAGCTATCATCATAGTACTCACGGATTTATATGACTATAAATAAACGCGCTTGTCGCTAAAATTGAATGAAAATATGGAGACATAAAGTTTTTATTGGGTTTTATATGTATGCTTAATGAATGAGCGATTCAAAATATAGTTTACTATTAAATATCAATCCCATCAACGGATTACGCTAAAACAAACACTTGTCTTCATGTCTTTTTTTCACTTGTGATCTGTCGTGTCGAGGTTTGTTCATTGTGTATCTTGGAATTAGTGGCTAGGGTTGGTGGCACCTGGGAGCGGGACAAGATTTTTGCCCCCCCCCCCCCCCCACCTTCCACAATAAAGCCTCTCCAGTTAGCCGAAAAATGCCACTTTATATAAGGAAAAAAAGTGCTCCACGGGGCAACCCCCCCCCCCAACCACCACCACCAGGGCCGGCGCTAGGGGATGGCGAAGTGGGCGATCGTGTTAGGGTCTTTTTTGTATGACAGTACGTACCGGTACGGCCTACCTGCACCCATTTCAGTTTGATTTAAAAAAAACAACTATTAATTCAAATTACTTATCTCAAATCTTATCTAAAAATAAAAGAATTCTCCAAACAAAACCATGTCAGGGGGGGGGGGCACCTATATTTCCTCTGTTGCCCTTCGATTAAGTGTAAACTGGTGCAAAAATAACTCGAATTTGCGCCAAAATGCATCTGGCGCTCAGCTGCTCCAAAAAATTAGAGGGAAAATTGCCAGGTGCTCTATATCAAATTCTAATGACAACACTTTGAAATAGAGAAACACTTTTTCCTCAAATAGAAGAGTTTGGTCAAAAATAACTAAAACACGCATAGAGTTCACTAAGCGCCATCAAATGAAAGAGTAGAGAGGTTCTGCAAACAGCAACAACTCAAGTGGGTGTCTGATTGCACCATGTCCGCCGGATGTCGTATCCCGTCACACTGGATTGAAAAAGAAAGAAATGTACGCTAGAGCAAGTGTGTAACATTTCGCGGCATTCTCCGGGAGATGCGGTCCACGTTTGGGGAACCACTGGGCTACGCCAAATATCAGACCTCTGAGAAAACCGGTGCTAGGACCCCATAATGATCTCTTTATCTGCATTATTTATTTATTTTGTGTGGGTGGGCGGGTAGGTGGGGGTAGTCAAACGCTCATTTGTACGTACTGAGGGAAAAAAAAGGAAAAGTGGTGGGGGTTTTCCTAAAGTACTTGTGCAACAGGGAGAAAGGGAGGGGAGGAAATTGAACCTTTTCTTGTAGGTAATATAGGGATGGCCCTTAAAGAATGCCTGCCTTAAATTGCTCGTCCCTCCCCCAGACACACTCTTTTATACATTTGAAAAAAAAGAAAACTTAAACACATTTCTTCTTTTGTAAACACTGGATTTAAAATAAATCTCCAGAGTCTATAGAGTGATCTTTTAAAAACATGTTTATTATTATAAAGTACGATTAATGCAATAGCAAATGAATCTTTTAAAATTTCATAGTGGCATTTTTTAAACTAAATAATCATCTTTCTTATCAACATGATCATAATTGTAACTTTTTTTTTCAAAGCAATAGAATTGATTGAAAAAAAGTTTATTTGATTGATGCATATAATTTTTTTATAAAAAGCACCATTAAATTTACTATGATTTAACAACGTTTTACGACAACATTCAAAGTTCCTGTAACAAAACTGACAATAACTTTGTTTCCAATAAATGTTTTTGAAACAGTACATATTATAATATTCATTGTACTTAAAGTTCAGTGTATGAATACAATAAACAAGGAATTCATTGTCGCAAGTCAATACCTGAGCAACGAGGCACATTCCGCATTTTGAGCTCTCATTATTGCGTTGTATCGGTATCAACATGTTGGGGTCGAAGAAAGAAGAGTCCCGTATTCGCATACCGACACCAACATTGGTTGTCTGAACTGTGGCAAATGAAAGTCATCTGAAGGGATGATTTGAGAATCATATGAAATTTGAAGTCACGTCGGCTTGGCGTACATTTTGGCCAACAAGGCTTTGCTGACTATTGTTCTGTGTCGAAAAGGGTGAAGTCCAAGGGGGGAGAGTCTAAGAGTCGTGAGGATGGCCCTTAACCTCAGTTCCGTGCGGGGAAAAAAAGGCGGGTACGGGGGTGAGGTGGACATGCCGGGTGGCAAAATCGTCGTTTTTCATGCAGAGTCTTTAGATCATTGCTTGGGAAGGGGGGTGCCTAAATTCCGGCTTAGCCATCCCACAGCTTTTGGTTGCCACGGCCGAACTTAACCTCATGGTATAGCCATAGCCTTATTTAACTTTACTAGCAATAACCCGCGCACCAATGGCGGCGGCAAATGGCTGAACTTCCCATCTACTAAAATTACTGGACAGAACAGGCATGTAACAAACGCACTTTATAAGCATCCCGATCCGTGCTAACTTCTGGGAATTCTATTTTGCGCGCCAATTGAACACAGCCTTACAGTTACAGCCATGGATATTGTATACACCGAGAATTATTATCTGTGATACATTTTGAATGAAATGTTAAGTTAATAAATTTGTTACATTTACATAATAAGAATAATGTCTGGGGGAATAGAAACACAATGTGGAAACAAATAACTCCTGTTAGTAGCCATTTATTGTAGGACGGAAATGATGATGAAGAGTCACAACATACTGAGATTTTGGCTGTTTCTCAATATAGAGGCTCAATACATTATAAAAATATAAATTTTTAGTCAAAGGTACGCATATGTTTCAAGCTTGCTATCTGCATAATAAATAACACAAACCTATTAAAACTGATAATTACAGTGCTAAAATACTATGGCGTAAAAAGGACTTTGGCAAGTCCCACCTTTCTACAATGTTTGTTCAGCTCCTGCACAGTTAGAGCTGAAGAGCATCTCGTTCATGTACGCAGGAATCAATAAGCAGACTATCGATAAACATCTGAACGGAATAGACGATCGGCACGTTAAGAGTTCCATCTTAAAAAAACTCCACCAGTTCCTCTCGATATATTTTGGTTAAAGTTCATGCTTATAATAACTGTTCTCAAACATTAGTACACTAGGCCGCCTCAAAGGCTTTGTTTATTTGCTGGCCTCGCCGGGTCAAATTTTCAGCCTTGCTCTTCAGTTTTTCATCGCGTTCTTTCCTCTTTGAGTCCGTGTTCAAAGTCTTTTCTCCAATGATTTCTCCCTCAGTTTCGGTAATTTCCGTAACAGTCACTACTTCATTGGGCTTTGTGGGGCGTATCTTTCTGTATACAGCCTCAACCTTAAATACAATTAAGAAAACTATATTGAAGATACATTAAATGTGGGATAATCTGTTAATCATAAGTTTTATGCCATTTGTAATAATAATTAGAATTTAAAAGTTTGATTATGGGATACGTTCACGGAGGAAAATAAATATTTATTTTTGGAGAGAAATGAGCCTAATGGGTTGATGAATATCATTGTTGATGAATCCGCTTTCATCTCATTTGTGGTTGTCATGGCTAGGCTAAGTAAACGTGGATCGGATGACGTAACCGTGAATTGAGAGGAAAGAAATTATTCAGAGCAAAAGTATAAATTTTATTTTTACCAACAATATCATTGGGTCTGTTTTCATTAAGCATATTCAACTTACTGGAGTCGAGTTTAGAAACAACAAACATAAGTTTTTAGCCAACCCAGCTTGGAAAAAATAGGCGGCAACCACGGGCAAGCTACTCTGTTTTACACAAAATTTGAACGTAGCCCATAAACGCCAAGAAGATAATGTTATTTGCTTTTTTAAGCAATATTTTCAAGCCTTACTCACTTAAGCCATAGAGGATCAGAGCACTGAACGTACCTTGGCTTTAACCATGAGCCACACCATGACCACGATGACGGGAATGTGGATAAAAACCAAGAGGAAGGCGTGCACGCCACCCATCCAGTACACGCCTTCGATGAAGCTGGTGACGCAGACGGTGCCCGTGTTGATTGTTGTGACAATCATCACGATGAGTGTCCCCAATCGACCAATGAAATCTCCCGTCTTCACGGCGAGAGCAGCCCCGACTTTGCTGTGGATGGAAGACACGATTAGAAACGTCAGAAATCTTTAAAGGAGATGCAGCGCGTCTTTTGAAGATAGAGGATACATGGAACATAGGTCATAAAATTAAATTCTTCTCATACAATGATGTTCTTCTCATAAAGATAAATTTCTCTCGTAAAACTAAATCCCGTTCATAAAAATAAATTCCGTTAGAATCTGCAAGTTTTAGACAGGCAAGGGCATAACTGTTATAAAACACCCGAAAAACTAAATGAAGACCACTTACACGGACTGCACGACCATTTCTTTCTTTACTATTTTCTTCTCCTCTGTTTTCCCGCCTTTTGCATTCTCCTGCTTCGCTGATGTTGTTGTTGCTGAGCTGAGTGAGGAAGGTGTTGGTTGTGGTGTTACGGTTACAGTGAAAGGGTCCGGCTCTGGCTCCACATCTTCCACTTTCATCTTTGCTTCAGCTTCCGGGCGGCTCCTGTTTAAAAAAAAAAAAAAAAGGAAAGAAAGATAACTCTTTACAGGTGAATCCTTAAGGGAAAGGGATAGTATTACTTTCAGCACTCATTAGACCAGTGGCGTAGAAAAAGGGGGGGGGGGCAGGGAGGGGTGGTTCACACCTTGAAGCAATTTTTGCTCAATATGTGGGGATAGTTGTATATTTTCGAACAACTTCTGATGGGTTTTTTTTTCTTCGTGGAAAGGGTGCGGCAAAAATCTTGGCCCGCCCGGGCGGCACTAACCCTTGCTACGCCACTGCACCAGACGCTTTCTCATCAAATTATATCTAAGTCTTGTTCTTGAGACGATAACTTAAACTGTAACTAGTTGAGTACAATCAAATCAAACATCTAGATTTCAAGATGTGACAGGTTCTGGTTCTGGTATAGGGTACGTTGCTGCATCCATGTACACTGGCATATATGCAACGGCTGGGGAAGGTTTCAGGTCATCCCCACACCCCCTCCCAACCCCCACACAAAAATAACACCCCACAAACTTCTTTTAATGTATCCCCAGTCTTTCATAGATCCGCTATTTTGAATCAAAATAATTTTTTCCCACCCAAAAGTAATCGACTATATTGTTTATCGCAATTCACGGAAAATTCAGAAAAGAGTTTTGACTTATACTCTTGTGTCACCTTGTTCTGGGTCAACCTACACTTTTGGTGTCCTGCTCTTAAGTATCTAAGTTTAACTATCATTTTTTATGACAGCTTTTCGAGATAACTCTTGTCAAATTTCAAATTTTCAACTTCGGAGCGCCCCCCCCCCCCCAACCACCACCATTTGTGAGTGTTTCAGCCGGTGTGATCCGCACCCAATAGTGGCGCAGATTTCCAACAGAAAAATTAAGTTTAACTATCATTTTTTATGACAGCTTTTCGAGATAACTCTTTTCAAATTTCAAATTTTCAACTTCGGGGCGCCCCCCCCCCCCCAACCACCACCATTTGTGAGTGTTTCAGCCGGTGTGATCCGCACCCAATAGTGGCGCAGATTTCCAACAGAAAAATCTGACACCATTTAAAGAATATAGCGTCGATAAGACCGTATATTGATTCTATAGCGTCACGGTGCCGCCATAATCGGCAAGTAGCCTCACACTGGGACCAATCGCAGGATATTTATTTTATACTATGAGGTCACATATTCTACTTTTCTAATATTCTTCCTCCTTTTAAACAAGTGTTTGAATAGGAGATATGGGTACGTCTCTGAATGCGTACCGTACAAAGATTGAATGGCAACGTCTCCGCTTTCCCGGTATAAACAGAATTCCATTATTTCTTCTGTGATCCGTATTGATTTCCTTTGATAAATCAATATACGCATTCTTCGCACCGTTGGTTCAATCAGCACAAGAACCTTGACAACTAGTGTGACGATAGGACATGCTTCTCCTTTCTGTAGCGACTTATTGGGGTCATTAGACCATTTAATTTTTTTGCCAACGCCAAGAATTCGCTTTCATCTTTTCCAGAGCGCTGAAATGTGTCGCCCTTTCTCAATTTGTAAACATTTGGTTATATAATTACCAAACTGCTTACCTATGACAGCATTGTGGAGATGTCCCATATCCAGACCCATGGCGCAACCTTTGGAGGCCCCATGAATCTTTACGGTTTTGTTTGCCCCCCCCCCCCCCCACCCAACCGTGTTACCACACCGGTAACAATTCCTATACAATTTATTTTGTCATGAAATCGAATTCTGCTTACACCGAGCTTTAAACAAAAGCAACTTCATGTACTTGAGATAGGACTGCCTTCTATTTTATGTACTTGTTTGTTAGATGCTAGACAAAACCAGCTAATAAATCTTAAATCATAAAATTAGTTTGCCTTCCCGAATTATTGAAAAAAAAAACTATTACCGAAATCATTGCCCTTGGGTATCAGATAACTCTATATATTTGTGTTTGATTTTTTTCCCCTTCCAGTAAGCAGAGCTACAGTTATCCTACTATTATTATCAATTAAAATTTTAAGCCATTTGTGATGAATGTCTGTCTAAAATTAAAAATTCCTCACAGACCGAGAATTATTGAAAGTTAAATGTCGGAGTACTAAACAGATTACCAGAAACTCACATGCTGCTTGCGGCAAAAGATTAGAAATTACACACACGCATATTTTACAAATATTTCTATATAAAAATTTAGAACAGAATTGGGCGAAATTAATATGAATAAATATTAACTATTCTTAGAGTAAGAGATGTATAGCAAAAAATATTTTTAAAAAATTATTTAAAAATTACAAACATTTTCTTACTTATGAAACTTGAGAGCTTTTTGTTAGAAATAGTTCCTCCCTATATTGGTAATGTTTAAATCCTTACTAGAAGAATGGATTATACTTTAATTAGCAATCTGAATCCATTATTGTTTCAGTATTTGTTGCAGAAGCACCTCAATGTGATGCGTGTTATTTTGATTGAAAGTTTATTTTATTGTTACGGTCGTAGAATAATACATGAACAATATATTTTTTTTTAAAAAGGCATTTCATGACATTACAGCAAGTGTGTACCGTACCCTAAGTTTAAGCCCTTCAACTGACAGACTTAAACTATTTTAGAAATATTCCTCCACATATAAAAGATGTGACAACTTGATTTTTAAGACATCTTGAAAATGTTCCCCCGCGGGTCACAATCACACAGCACAGCTCTCCATAGTATTAAAACGTTACATTCGACACATAAAATGTGCTCTAACATCTTAGCCGCCTGTGTGTCACGGCCCCCGTTTAAAGTAACCGTGTACTTCACCACAACATTGGTAGCTAGGCGTTTCCATGTGTACACACCGTGCAGTTTATTTTGTTTCTATTCATTAAAGCCGATCACGGCATTGATTCTTGTATCGGCTATTGATTTCTAAGGAGGGGGGGGGGCTGAAGAGGGCGGGCCGGCCAAAAAAAGTGGGTTTGACAGGACGAGGGAGATTATCGACTTGAGTAGGTGCTCAGAAACTGATGACGTAGATAATTTTTTTTTTTAATGTGTACACAGCATATCAGGGGCGCCGTTAAATGGTAGACCTGACGTCATCACTTGCAATACTTTTGGTTTATTTTTGATAGATTATAGTGTACCAGATTACTGATTTTTTTTTCTTTAAATGGTCAGAATGTCAGAATGTATTTTGAGTTTGTTTTTTTTTTTAAAAATCATGGTGCAAACAAAGTCCGAAAAGTCGCGAAGCAACGTAGGACCAGTGGCCAACCTTTAGTGTGTGGGTATGGGGGGGGGATGGACCGCCCCGTTGGCCACTTTGGGAGTGGACGGCGATTACGAAACATATTATCTTAGTTGAATCAATTTGTTAAAAATTATTTCTAAAATATTTTAAGCAATAATGATTGTTACAATTTTTTGCCCTCTTGCATTTCTAATATTGGAATTTTAACGTAAAATTGATTAAAACAGCAACAACCACAACAACCATTAGATCACTTAATAGCAATCCATGCTTTGATTATTCCGTTGGGATTCTTTATTCTATTTTTTTTTAAAAATCAACTTTACCTTTCCACCGAAAAACAAACAATTTTTTTTTACATTTCTACACGTACACAGTATAACTCCCATCAAATACTTATCTATTATTAATTATTGACTGCTATGGTTATAGCCACTTCCACATTAAATTATATTTATAAATTTTTTGTAACCATTTTATCATTCCTTGTCTCACTATATACTTATTAGATAAAAGGCTCTTAAAACCTGAAGAGGGCTCTTAGCCGAAACGTTCTGTTAATTGTCCTGTCTTTGTACTTAAAGCTTCCACATACCTTGTTCAGTTTACTAACCAAAATAGGAACAATGCATAATTAACAGATTCACTTAAAATCTAATTAAATACAAGAGAAAGGTCGGACTAGAAAATGGTGCCACAGGAACATAGTGCCACCCGAACAGGGTGCCACCAGAGCCGGGTGCCACTAGAGTAGGGTGCCAACTGGGTGACATGGGGAAGTTTGGAGGGGGCACACTGTGAATTAATCGCCCTGGGTGACACCAACCCTAATGGGACCACTGCCGGTGTTCAGTTGACCAAGCAGTCTGTCTGTTCCCATTTTCACGTTCTTGTTTTTCAATGTCCGTTATCAGCGACTTTGCAGACTTGAGGCTTTAAGCTGAAGCAAAGAAGATTGTTCACATATGCAAAGGAATAATCTATTGTTGCATTAATATTTAATTTTAAAATACCAGTAATACTACTTGGTAGCAGCTATGCTCTACTGAATATACTGATAAATTCGAAGTAAGAAGGCGCAATGTTTGGACCCCCCCCCCACCTCCGGGAAAGGGGGGAGGGGGGGCGGCATTCAGTCAAGGTGCACAGCTGCGTAGGGACAACTCTACATGGTAAATATCACTCACAATTTGAGTTCTTGTTAATATTTTTTACAATTGGTAGGCCTATTATTTTTAAGCCATCAGTTTTATTTTTAGATTTATTTAATGTAAATCTTTCATCAATAGGATTTAATATTCAGATTCCGATTACAAACGAATTACACCAGAACTCCAGCCCAGGTTCTGTGCGATTCATGTTCAGGCCTAATTTAGTATGCGCCCTTTGTAGAATTGGTGTGTTCATAGGTCGTATAGTTTTCACGCACTCTACACTTGATGGTCAAGTCTTTGTCCAACTGGAACTGCAGAACCACAACACAGTAGGTCAATAATGTGCCAGATATCTGGAGGTGAAACAAAGAAAAAAGGACCTAAATTTTGTGAATAATTTTGTAAAAAAACAAAATTAAGTTTAGAGAGTTTAGAAATGTGTGTGTGTTGGAGATTTTCAGTTTGGCTTTCACTAATCCAAAAAAAAAAAAAGCCGAAGACAACATAGCATCAATTAATTTATTTATATTTTAACATATTCTTGTCCAAATCGAAAAAGAGAGCCTTCCAACTACCGTTAATAATTTTTTAAAAAATGAATTTATTAAAATATATATTAAATTAATATAGCTATTAATTTTTTTTAAATTGTATATTTGAAGCATTCAAAATACACAAACGAAAGTTGAAATATTTCAATACAAATACAACAGTTGCTTGTATTTTGATCTTGCCACTCACCATTATCAGGGTGGAATTATCCAGTACAAAGAGTCCGTACACGTCGATTCCAGATTTTTTTGTTATGCACTGAGTCAGTAGAAGATTCATCTGTGATATTAGACAAAGTGAAAGAGAATAAAAGTTACGGTTATGTTGGGCTAACTAGAAGGCATATATTTGTATTAGGATATGAAACATATGCCTACCGTTAATTTTTACCCAGTTGTGAGAAAAGGGAGAGCATTGTACACGTACCATTATTATTTTATCGAAAATTATTCAGAGAAAAAAAAAAAACTGGATATAGTCGGCCAAACAATGGTGGCAGCAATGTGTGCGTGAACTTCCCATCTCCTGAAGTTACTTGACAAAACATGCATTCAAGTAAAGCACTTGATAAGATTCCCAATTAGTGAACACCCACCCCTCCCCCCCCCCCCCCCCCCCCCCCCCCGGTACGCCATAACTCTTGAACGGTTACCGGAAATTTGTTTGAAAGAAATTTCGTCGACGTAAAGTTGATCGACGGAATTTCTTTTATGAACGCACTATATACTACATAGTCAAACAAAATAATGCGTTCAAAAAGAAATTTGTCGAAAATTTGATCATGTGAACTAAAAAAAAAAAACAACAAACAAACAAATTCGACCAAACTTCCGTTTGATCAAATTTTCGTCAATCAAATTTTCCGTCGACGAAATTTCTTTTAAACAAATTTCCGGATACGCCCCTGAACTATATAAATATTCTAATGTCCCACACCCTTTTACAACACATTTAAGTTAAGAATAATTCCATAAAAATAAAGAAAATATTACGCACCAAACACATTTTTGTTATTTTGAAGAATCCCAATAATTTAATCGCAGTTATCTGGAATTTTATTTAGTGAAATTAGCGCCATCTGGCAGCGTTGGTGACATGGTTACACAGAGAATTGTGTATTTTGATACTAGCCATCTGGCAGCGTTGGTGACATGGTTACACAGAGAATTGTGTATTTTGATACTAGCCATCTGGCAGCGTTGGTGACATGGTTACACAGAGAATTGTGTATTTTGATACTAGCCATCTGGCAGCGTTGGTGACATGGTTACACAGAGAATTGTGTATTTTGATACTAGCCATCTGGCAGCGTTGGTGACATGGTTACACAGAGAATTGTGTATTTTGATACTAGCCATCTGGCAGCGTTGGTGACATGGTTACACAGAGAATTGTGTATTTTGATACTAGCCATCTGGCAGCGTTGGTGACATGGTTACACAGAGAATTGTGTATTTTGATACTAGCCATCTGGCAGCGTTGGTGACATGGTTANCCCCCCCCCCCCCGCCTCATAACCACACATTTTTTTCACGCCACTGAACTCTATTAATATTTTAATGACCCACCCGCTTTTACACGCAGATTCATTTCTGAAAAGCAAAAGAAAATATTACGCACCAAACGCACTTGCGATATTCTTTTAAAAGAATATCATTTAGCGCAGTTATCGGGAATTTAGCTTCATGTTCCTCTTGAACAAAAGGAAAAATGATTTTTGGGGGGTTAGGGTTGGGAAGTGGGGCTGATAATTTGAAAGAATGTGTTGTCACGGGCAAAGACTCTATGTGCCAAGTTTTAGCTTGATAGCTTGACAGGAAGTGGGTCAATTAGCCGTTCGAAGATTTTGCTTGCCACCCACCCACAAGCAAAAGCGAAGTTAATATAAAGGATTTAAAAATAGGGATCATTATATTAAACCATGATTCGTGAAGAAAGGGAAAGATACATTTTCTAAAGTCTTCTTTGGTATCAAGAATGCACACGAGAGTGAGAAATAAGTCCACTTACTTAAATAGAATCCAGTTGTTTTGTTAGTTTCAACTGTTAAAAAAAACAACAAAAAAACACCTCAGTTACCTTGCTCAAGATCTTGGTTGGAAAATTCGTCCAGTTGGTGTTGTTCAGAGCTCCGCATATGGAGTGGATCTGTAAGTTGGGGAAATTGACGTGTTAAACGTAAGCAAATAAAACATAATATAGTTTAGATGACTCTCTTGTGTCACATGCATAGGGCAGTGCTTCCAAAACTTTTCAGTGTGATGGCCCGGGAGAAATTCACCCTGAACTGCTGAAGAGATCAACACCAAGTTTAAGACAACTTTCAGATCTTTTCCAAGTAGGCGACCACCATTTGCACACAGGCAATATGGGATAACGTGGATGACTAAGATTACTAAGAAAGTATTTTTTTTTAAAAAAGCATTTGATTTAACTTTTATTTGTTTGCCGTGGTTGAACCTCTTAGCAATGGGACGTACTTGTGAACCTCTTAGCAATGGGACGTACTTGTGAACCTCTTAGCAGTGGGACGTACTTGTGAACCTCTTAGCAGTGGGACGTACTTGTGAACCTCTTAGCAGTGGGACGTACTTTTGAACCTCTTAGCAATGGGACGTACTTGTGAACCTCTTAGCAATGGGACGTACTTGTAAACCTCTTAGCAACGGGACGTACTTGTGAACCTCTTAGCAACGGGACGTACTTGTGAACCTCTTAGCAATGGGACGTACTTGTGAACCTCTTAGCAACGGGACGTACTTGTGAACCTCTTAGCAATGGGACGTAGTTGTGAACCTCTTAGCAATGGGACGTACTTGTGAACCTCTTAGCAATGGGACGTACTTATGAACCTCTTAGCAATGGGACGTTCTTGTGAACCTCTTAGCAATGGGACGTACTTGTGAACCTCTTAGCAATGGGACGCACTTGTGAACCTCTTAGCAGTGAGACGTACTTGTGAACCTCTTAGCAATGGGACGTACTTGTGAACCTCTTGGCAGTGAGACGTACTTGAGACATCCATGCAGTCACAGCAAGTTAATCTCCGGGCTATAATAAGGGAATAGGAAGATGAGCATTTAGCGGCAGTGAGAATTCTTGCAATTCAGTCAGAAATATTTTAAAAGTTGCAGTCAGTTTGACTGGAGACCTGGCTACGTCACATTTCCCCAGCAACAAAATAACGTTCAACGGGTGCACAAGTTGATGGAATCAAAACGGATTAATTAATAATAAAAGATTTCACTAAAAAAAAAAAAGTGTTTTTTTTCTTTCGAATTAATTTTACCAGAGCTGGTTGAGGACCGATCAGTTGATATGCTTTAATGAAGCTAATACTAATTGCGGTACGCGCTCACCGCGACACTCTTATCTTCTCTACAGAGTATGGCCTAACAGACGCAGTTATACTCCAAGGAGACAGTATTATGTATATGATGCAAACAAAAACATGATTCATGTTTGACGTGATAGCAGCGCTTGATACAGACGATCATCAAGCAGACGAGTAAAGCATCGCGGAACTCTGTATTGAACAAACACGACCTGAGAGCAGTTCTTGATAATTTAATCTCACCTGAAAACAAATTAATTGATTTTTTTTACATGCATTTCCTAAACGTCCTTGTAAATGCGAAATCAAAACAGTACTGCTCTCTCTCTCTCTCTCTCTCTCTCTCTATCTCTCTCTCCCCCCTCCCAACCTTTTTTTCCTCCACACTTTCTCGAATATATTTATATGTTAGTATAAAAGATCCTTAGCCTAATGAAGCTTTCACTTAAAATAATGGTGGACTGGTTGCCAAAGGTTGTCATCGATTGAATGTAACATTGGTTGGGGATAGCTTGAATATTTGCCTTCATTTCTCAACATTTGAGCATTCATTACCGTTAACAAACATGGCAGCGGCTCTGAGAGATACGATGATAATAGTACCTGGTAATAGTTGTTATTTTACCCGTCTCGGCCAGCCATAGTTAGAAACCCTTAAATTTCCCAGGTCGAACTCACAAAAGTGCGCCCTCAACATACTCATACACACATTCGTATCATGTAGATTTTTTTAAAAATAAACCTGAAAGTGCATAGTAAACATATGTGGTGCACCATTATAATTTAAATCCATGATATTTTACCTGTATCTGGTAGTCAAAGTAAATAATCTGTCCATACCTGTCACGTCGTGGTTTCGGAAAGAACATAGGCTTCACCATACCACTGCACCCATTGGCTAATCTTTAGTTTCTGTTTCTCCATCAGTAAAGTGCTGTTTCGCTGTGCTTAATGTGGGAGGGAACGTATCGATTGTTTTATATCAACACAACAAATGGAATATGAAACGGCTTGCTAGTCATTGCTTGAAACATTAACGTAGCCGTGTTTTAACTCGTGTTAGATTAGTGAAGTGATTACTACCCGTGGTAGGCTTTGGGAGGGGAGGGGGGTGATAAAGTAATTGACGTCGAGGGATCCTAGCCAGCAGGCGGGGAGTTTGTGACACCCATGGTGGACCCTGACTTTGAATTTACCGCGCAACTAAACAGGGCCGTGGCAAACAAAAGCTATGTTTCTGCAGCAGAGCCTGAATTTAGGCGCCCTTTTCCACGTGACGAATGATTCTGGCACCCTCTGAAGATGGCACCAAGGACGCGTGCCCTCTTCTCGACCCCCTTTGCACAACCATGCCCCTAAATATACATCAAGCATAATCAATTTATAATAGTTGCCTAGATCAGGGTTCTCAAACTCAAATTATCCGGGGGCCGCAGAAGGTAGAGTCTGAGTGAGATTGAGCCGCATCAAGTATTCGACAAAAAAGCGCTTAAAAATTTAATAAAGTACAACTGTTACAATCTGCTCAACATTTATTGATAACAAATAAAAAACATCAAAGGTTCTCGAGAACTTGGATTCACTTTATTCCTACTACCCCTTATTGCCAGAGACCTGGCAGCGCTTCTTCTTAAACAGCTGAGCAACATTTGGCTTAAGTGAGAAAGCAACTGAGACCCTCAATGTAGCCCGAAGATGCTCATCAGTAAATTTGGACCTGAACTTTGACTTGTTAATGGAAAAAGAGCTCTTCACACAGACAGGTCCTGCCAAAAAGGCACATGATCCGCTTGAACAACCTAGAAATCTTAAGGAAGGTGGAGGGCAATTCTCTCATAAATTGTCTATGCTTGTCTGTTTTTCCATTCACTTCCCAGAACTTAGCCTTGAGTTTAGAATTGCACTGAAGAGCAATCAGCTCAATTTGAAGTGAAAAAAAAGTGTGTGTGTGTGTGGGGGGGAGGGGGGCATCTTCCACATTGAAGGAGAAAGGGTCAGCATAAATTTGAAGCGTTGCTCTGTGCATTTTTAAGTCTGCAAAAATGTTATAAAATTCTAACAGTAGCTTTGCAATGGCATCAGCATACTTACTACTGAATGGTGTGCCCGGGTCGATGAGTACTTTGCATGTTGTGAAATGGCATAATGGCATAAGTTTTTTGCCGAATGCCCTGACAGTGTCATAGGCATCACTGACAAGCTGCCCCTGGTCTTGTAACTTCTTGTTGAGTACAATCAGCTCCTGTGTAATGTCAACAAGAAAAACCAAGCCCATGAGCCATTTTGGATCACTTAGTACAGGAACAACCACCCATCCTTCTCCATGAAGCCTTTGAAGGCCGAAACGTGTTGAAACAGTAGGCAGGAGCAGGCAATATTCATGAATTATTTATGCGAAAGAAGATTGTAAAGGGAAATAAATGAATTTTGTTTTTTTATCGTTGACAATGCCTTTTTGACTATCCCTAATTTGAAAGTAACCAAGAAGATAGGCTCAGAAGTTCCCTCACTCGTAAACACTAGCGGCAATTTTGATATGGATTCTTTGATACTGTGTCCGATTGCTACGATTTACACAATTATGGTTGTGCATTACCCACCAAATTTAAACTTTTCTCAAAACCGCACTCTGGCCATGTTTGTCTCATAAAATGAAAGAAAATAAAAACTTTTGATCTGATTTTAAAACGAATTTTTTTACCACTATCATCAACGTCCAAATCTACACAAACATATAAACAAATCAGAATTAGACTAGTCGGTGAGATTCGACCGAAACCGTCGCAAAGTGTTCCATTAAAGATATGAGAACGGGGAACGCGCGGGTCGCATTAACACTAAACTTTGCCGTCAGGTATCGGGCCGCAAAATATCGTCTTGCGCGCCCCGGCGGGCCGCGAGTTTGAGACCCCTGGCCTACATAAATGTTTTGGACCGAAAAACGTCAACCTTGAAAATGTTCCACCCGTGGAGGACCATCCGTCCGTCCATCTCATCCTATGCAATTGCCAGCTGGGACCATCCGTCCGTCCATCTCATCCTATGCAAGTGCCAGCTGGGACCATCCGTCCGTCCATCTCATCCTATGCAAGTGCCAGCTGGGACCATCCGTCCATCCATCTCATCCTATGCAAGTGTCCGCTGGGACCATCCGTCCGTCCATCTCATCCTATGCAAGTGCCAGCTGGGACCATCCATCCGTCCATCTCATCCTATGCAAGTGCCAGCTGGGACCATCCGTCCGTCCATCTCATCCTATGCAAGTGCCAGCTGGGACCATCCGTCCATTCATCTCATCCTATGCAAGTGCCAGCTGGGACCATCCGTCCATCCATCTCATCCTATGCAAGTGCCAGCTGGGACCATCCGTCCATCCATCTCATCCTATGCAAGTGCCAGCTGGGACCATCCGTCCATAAGGGGGGGGCCACCCGGGGCGGGACATTTTTTTTTTTTTGCCCCCCCCCCCCCCCGCCCTTTTTTTAAAAAAACAAACAAACAACAAATCAACAACAAAAAAACTTTCTGTATTTGTATTTTTAAATTTTACATTTTACTTATGGGCAACCTACCAAAAAAAAAAAGGCGTCTAAGTAAAGATTTGATAAAAACCTTTTGAGTTGTATCCCTTAATTAAAATGTACGTAGCCAGTCACACTGCTAACACACGTTAACAATTAATAATTTAGCCAAAATATTTGAACAACTGATTTTTTTTATGGAATGATTTTCACCTGGTTTTGAGTGACTGAAAGGTTAGATAAGTGATGTTGGTTTAACATGCTTTAAAAAAAGGTTAGTGATATTGTTCAAACATCATTTGTGAAAACATTGTTTCCCGGTACATTAAAAAAGAAATGTATTTCAAAAAGGTAAAAAAAAAACAAAAACAAAAACAGAATTAATGGCAAATCTCAAAGGTAGGATCCTGAAATCAGATTAACTAATTCAAATCCACAATTTCATCATCAGGTTTTTCATTTGAAATTAAAATAATTTAATCTTGTCCCCATTAGCTTCTCATGCCCCCCCCCCCCAACCGCTTTATTTTTCTTTCTTCAAAAGAAAACAAAACAACAACATACAACCACATAAACATCAACAATAACAATAAAACTGCACGCCACGGCATCGAACACGTGAACACACCAACCTTACCGCTGTGTTTCAGGTTTTTCATTTGAAATTAAAATAATTTAATCCTGTCCCCATTAGCTTCTCATGCCCCCCCCCCCCAACCGCTTTATTTTTCTTTCTTCAAAAGAAAACAAAACAACAACATACAACCACACAAACATCAACAATAACAATAAAACTGCACGCCACGGCATCGAACACGTGAACACACCAACCTTACCGCTGTGTGAAGTCGCCCCCATTTCCCCGTGACAAACGCGATCCCCGCCAGCGTGATGGTCATCTGGTAGACCTGCGACAGGATCATCCCCGTGGAGACGTTGGCGCTGCTCAGCCCGTAGATGCACAGACACACGACGATCATGTCGAAGAACAGGGTGAGCGCGACGCACGTCCGCGTCAGGCGACTCAGTGCGAGCACGATCCTGCACAGTACTTGGTAGCGCTCTCTGGAGAAACGGACTTCCGGTATAAGTTGGTGCATTTTGGAGTAAATGAAATTAACGTTTTGCGCTATTAATTAAGTTCGCAGCAGAACAGAACTCAAAATCTCGGGCAGATCCAACACAAACGAATGGGAGTCGCTTAGTCAATTATTTTGTCACGTGATATGAGTAAAAACGAGTAAGATTTCCGGTATACTGTATACAACACACTAGTGCTTGACAACAGTAGCCCGATACACACTACAACTACACTACATTTCGTCCAATGAAAATTAACAATAAAATAAACAAAGGGGAATGACTCCTGCATCAATATTGAATAAAAACGCAAATGACGTCATGAGCACGCACGGAGCTCAACAACATCCTGCCGATAATAGTATTGATAGTTCCCATCGAATATCGCTCACAAATTTTTCTTGAAATAACTTTCTTCCTTTAATTATAACTGACGTATATTTATTGTCACATTTATGTATTTCATTTAAAAAACGCTTGCATTCCATAATATTACGAAAGGTAAAATTTTTAATTAACATGAAATTGGGGAAGCACTGATGAAGTATCTTTTGTTGTGTGTTGCAGCCTAGTGATGACTTACTCATATCACGTGACCAAACAAGGAAGTGACTAAGCGACTCCCATTGGATGCAGCGAACGGGCGTCTACATATTTTTAAAGGCTTTAAAAGAGAGATTAAAGTGTTCACCTAACCACAGTATAGAAAACTATATAAAAAACCAGTGCCGGATTAACGTAATGGTACATGAGGTAGTGCCTATGGGCATAGGACCTTTTAGGTGCCCCGAGACGAAGGATACAAGTATTTTTTGTTGGGGTGGGGCTTAATTTGATCTTGAAGGTACTTTTGATTTCACGTAAAGTAATGCACCCATAGGTATTTCTATACCGGTACCTAACAATTAACAGGAAAGGGGATGGGGGAAGAAGAAGTAAGGGAAGCAACTAAACAACACAAGTAGTAAACGTTTCCTGAGATCGTAATCATCAAAGTGAGGATTTTGAGTCTTGTGTGGCATAAGGGATAAATACGATAAATAGCACGGTGCCTGCTGAATGTGTCGGTGAGCGAGCGACCAAAAACGTAACGCGAATAGACTGTTTTTTTAATTTATATTTCTCATTCACGATATTTTATAAAAGGTTGACTCGAAAGCAAAGTAAAAGATATGGTTAATGTGTAGAAAGTGGGTAGAGTGTGGAGGGAGCAATGAATAGATTGTATATGCTGCCGGGGGTGAAGTCCCAAAAGTGCGCCCCTCTAAGAGATGAGGCAGGCCAAAGCCCTACATGGGCTGTAGCGACACAAGGATGGATGCATGGAAGGAAGTGGTGAGGCAGGCCAAAGCTCTACATGGGCTGTGGCGACACGGATGGATGGATGGAAGTGGTGAGGCAGGCCAAAGCTCTACATGGGCTGTGGCGACACAGGGATGGATGGATGGAAGTGGTGAGGCAGGCCAAAGCTCTACATGGGCTGTAGCGACACAGGGATGGATGGATGGAAGTGGTGAGGCAGGCCAAAGCTCTACATGGGCTGTGGCGACACAGGGATGGATGGATGGAAGTGGTGAGGCAGGCCAAAGCTCTACATGGGCTGTGGCGACACAGGGATGGATGGATGGAAGTGGTGAGGCAGGCCAAAGCTCTACATGGGCTGTGGCGACACAGGGATGGATGGATGGAAGTGGTGAGGCAGGCCAAAGCTCTACATGGGCTGTGGCGACACAGGGATGGATGGATGGAAGTGGTGAGGCAGGCCAAAGCTCTACATGGGCTGTGGCGACACAGGGATGGATGGATGGAAGTGGTGAGGCAGGCCAAAGCTCTACATGGGCTGTGGCGACACAGGGATGGATGGAAGGAAGTGGTGAGGCAGACCAAAGCACTATATGGGCTGTAGCGACACAGGGATGGATGAAAGGAAGTGGTGAGGCAGGCTAAAGCACTACATGGGCTGTAGTGACACAGGGATGGGAGGAAGGAAGTGGTGAGGCAGGCCAAAGCACTGCATGGGCTGTAGCGACACGGGGATGGGTGGAAGGAAGTGGTGAGGCAGGCCAAAACACTACATGGGCTGTAGCGACACGGGGATGGGTGGAAGGAAGTGGTGAGGCAGGCCAAAGCTCTACATGGCCTGGAGCGACACAGGAGTGGATTTACTAATTACATCATCATCATCAATGGCACTACAGCCCATGTAGGGTCCTGGCCTGCTCCACCACATCCTTCCATTTGGAGCGATCCATGGCTTTCCGTCTCCATGCTCGAACCCCCAACTGGTGTAAATCTGTCTCCACATCATCAATCCACCTCATCCTAGGGCGACCGATGAGTCGTCTGCCCCTAGGCTTCTGCTCTGTATATAATTTTGGCTGCTATGCATTCTGGCATCCTTTCAACATGACCTGCCCAGCGTATTCTGCCTTTTTTTATCATTGTGACTATGGGTGGTTCTTTGTACAAATAGTAAAGTTCTTGGTTTGTACGTATTCTCCAGATATCATTTTCTATCACTGGTCCGTATATTTTGCGGAGGATTTTCCTCTCCCATGTGTTGAGCAGGTTCTCTGCTTTTCTGGTTAGGGTCCAGGTCTCACTAGCGTACGTTACTACAGGTCTTATGATGTTGGTGTATATTGTCTTCTTTGCTCCCCTTGATAAGCTTTTGTTTCCCAGTAGCTTTTGTAGGCTGAAATAGGAACGGTTGCCTGCTGTTATCCTTTCTTTCACCTCTGACATGATCTCATTGTGCTCATTTATAGTTGCCCCTAGATATTTGAATGTGTCCACTCTCTCAAATTTGTGGTTGTTTATATTGATGTTATCATCAGCATGGGAATTTCTTGACATTATCATAAATTTTGTCTTCGGTTCATTTATATCAAGGCCAGCTTTGAATGAGGCATTTTCAAGTTCCCTGAATGCTTTAATTATGTCATTACGGTTTTTAATTACATTGATCTCATTTGGCTTTTATTAGGTTCGCTTCCTTTCGAAGTTTAAAATACAACAAAAGAAGCGAGGAAGCTGTTCAGACATTCGTGTCAGTGAATAAATGGCCAAAAAAGATAAATAAATCAATGTTTTAAAACTGACGTTGCATTTGTCGGTCATCACATTGAACAGAATGTTGACTCGAACTCCAAGTAACCAAGTGACGGACACACCGGGTGTAGAGAGGATTAGCCATGAATGGTATCCCCAAAATTGTGTCTGCCCAGCCCCCGCCCCCTTCGCAAGGGTTCATCCGGAACTGAAAAAGATATCGGAAAATAATCCGAAGGCGAATTATATTATAATAACCTAAAATCTTGCAGCTGATCGTCTAAAATAAATTATTCTCAATAATCCGATAGGACCTGCTGGCTGGACCGTGACGACAAAACTGTCATTAAATATATCACAAAACACATCACGAGTTATCTGATTGTAAAATTAATTTATTTTGTTTTATTAGAACTTTTTTTTTTTGTTATTGAAAGAAAAGAGTCAATATGCAGAATATGTTTACTAAATTTATTATCTCTCTACCCATGGGAAGACTATGCTTGTAAAGCATGTTTGTTAATGAGGAGATAATCCTAAGCATACCTGCATTCATCAAAACGGCTTTCCAACGTGACGTCATCGACAGCGAGAATGCTGGCCATCGCCTGTGCCGTGGCCTGGAACTCGTACTGAATGGTGTGTACCAGACCCGTGTACAGGAGCAGGAAACCGTAAATCGGAATTCCCAGAAACATGACGAAGACGGCCATGCTGATGAAACTACCCACGATCTGGCCGTCCTGGACCTCGTCGAGGGGAAACAGAATATAGTGGGCGTTGGTCATCATCCCAAACGACGTCCAAACGAAGGAGAAGACGATGTTACAAGCAAACGAGCAGTAGGAGAGGCACCTGACGAATTTTCTCCGCTCCAAAAGATCCGTCAGGAAGCCGAATCGCTCCGCGTAGTCGTGCACGGCCGCCAGAAAGGGCGGGAAATGGTGGCGGAGTGAATATTGCTCTGAGATGTACATCGCCGTTCCGTACGCCATGAAGCACAGAGCCTCCAGGGACGTCGCGACCATCGTGTCGTCCGCCGTGGCGATGTGGAGCGCGCAAAATGCCACGGTCCTCGCGACGTTCGTCAAATGCAGGAGCCCCATGAGCAGACGGTAACCTTTTAAAGCGTAATTATGACCCCTGAACTTTGCCCCCTGTCCGCCTCTGACCAAGCGTTCTTCTATGGGTACATCAAAACCACCGACCATGAGAAATCGTTTAGGAATGATGAGCAAGGGATAGATTTTGGACACGTCATCGCAAGGGTCTGCTTTGAAAACAAATTCTGGTCGGCTCACTGTTGAAATCTCTTCCGACATGCACATTCTTCTGCCTGAATCGCCACGGCGTTTAAATCTTTGATTCAACGTGTTGGAAGCTATAGAGCTGTCGTGACGGCTTGCATCTTCTTCGATAGGTGACGCAAGCCTTGTTTCGCCTCCATCAGTTCGTGTCGTCATGCAGGGCGCAACCATGGGCAGCTCAACGTCGTTCGCGTCACCTCTTTTCCAGTCCGCTTGATCGTCCATTGCAAAATGCCTGTGCCGGTCACCATATCCACTCTTTATAGACATATCGCCTGCTACTAACACGCCGTACGGAGAAGCAAGTCAGAGAAATGTTCAGTGCGGTACTGTTGTAAAATATCTTCTCAAGATCGGGGCATGCAGGATTTCCAAAGTAAAATAATTTACACTTTAAACTAGATAGTAGTTTCAATTATTTATTACACTACTTTAGACGTCGTTTGGGAAACTCTAATTAAATTTCGGTTCATTTTGACAATAGTGCTAACACAGCTCTCAATAACAAGCAGGATTTTTAGAAATAAGTTAACATTATTTGTTCGATGACGCTAATTTTAAAGGTGGCATGTATTACTCAACTCTTCGAGTTTTTATAATAAATATTGTGTAGTTCTAATTTGCAATAAAATTGACATAGATCACTGAGTAAGAGCATAAATTACATTTAATAAAAGTCCATTTTAATATTTATACCTTGCTACTATAAAATGGATGCCCCCCCCCCCCTCCACACCTCCCAAATTTCATATCCCAAATTTTATGTTGTTTCCTCACTAGTGGGACGAAGTGCGTTACTCCAGTAAAAAAGATATTTTAACATGAACAGAAATCAAATCGTTTGACAACATGTAACACGCGCTGTCGACAA